TGTGTGTGTTTCTTTAGGACTTAGGATTAGGGTCTGGGGCCTCACTCATTAGGTAAGCTCTCTCTCACTGGCTGTATCTCCTAGCCCTACATGAGATCTATAAGGACATCTTCCTCCAACACCTGGTGATGTCAGACTGTTTCTAACCAGTGAAAGAGGCCGTTCTCGTTTGTAGGGGATGTAGCTCAGTTGGTAGAGAACCTGCTCAAAGGCCTTTGTCGATCCCACGTAAAATGTGTGTGATGGTACAACTCTATAATCCCAGCATTCGGGAGGTTTAGAAGTTCAGGTTCATCTTTGGCTTCATAGGGAGTTCAAGGCCAGCCTGGGGTACTTGAGACCTTGTGTCACACACACAAAAGGATCCACTCTTGATTCTCTTTCATCCCTCTTTCCCTTCCCCTAGCACGTGAACCTTGTGGAAGGTCTCTTGTTCTCATCGGTGTCTTTGGGGGCTACTGATGGGGGCACAGGCTGAGAGTAGGCCATGAGGAGCAGCAGGAGTAAGGTTTTAGGAGCTGCCGTAGACCAAGCAAACAGTGAGCCAACTCTGGTAAGTGTGGGGACTTAGGAGAAAACCCTGAGGGATTACAAGCCTGGGTGTGGCCTTAGTAGTAGCGTGGATGAGGACTTGGTGAGTTTTGGCTGATTGAAAACCCCGTAGACATTGGTGGGAATCATGGCTGCAAGAGGAGCCACTTGGGGGCTGTGTTTTGTTGTGCATTTGTTTTTGAGACAGGGTCTCTCTGTATCTCAGGTTTTCCTGGAACTCATGATCCTCCTGCCTCAGCTTCCTGAGTACATTCATTTTCTTTCTTCCTCCTGCTCCTCCTCCTCTCTCCTTCCTCCCTTTTCTCCCCTCTCCCCTTTTTTTTGAGCCAGTGTCTCACTGTGTGCCACAAGCTAGCCTCAGAATCATGTTCTCCTGCCTCAGCTTTCCAAGTGCTGGCATTCTAGGCTTAATTAAACAGGGGTTTTCCCCTCCTCTCCCTTTTCTGTTATTTCCTTGTGGAATTTACTGGTCAGATTTAGCCCCCCTGTATTGCCCTGATTGTTTTCATAGTTTTATATTTTTGTTCAAGTATATGCTACCATTCCTAGCTTTGCATTGAATTAAAAAATTGTAAGATTTACTTTTTGGCTCTTTGAGACAGTCTCACTATGTAAACTGGGTGGGAACTCATTATAGATCAGGCTGGCCTTGATCTCTCAGATCATACTGCCTCTACCACCCAGCGCTGATGTTAAAGATGTGAGCTGTGCCGGGCGGTGGTGGTGCACGCCTTTAGTCCCAGCACTTGGGAGGCAGAGCCAGGCGGATCTCTGTGAGTTCGAGGCCAGCTTGGTCTCCAAAGCGAGTTCCAGGAAAGGTGCAAAGCTACACAGAGAAACCCTGTCTCAAAAAACAAAAACAAAAACAAAAGATGTGAGCTTTTGTTTTTAATTTGCCAGAGTTATTTTTGTTCCCTAAATAGTTCTTTACAAAAAAATAGCACTATGGGGTTGGAGAGATGGCTCATCAGTTAAGACACTGTCTGCTCTTCCAGAGGACCTGGTTCCAATTCCCAGCACCCACACAGCAGCTCACAGTGGTCTATAACTCCAGTCCTAGGGCATCTGATGCTCTTTTCTAGCCTTTGAAGGCATTGCATGCACATGGTACATGGATATACATACAGGCAAAACACCCATATACATAAAGAGAAAAAAAAAAAAACCAGCACTATGCTCTTGTTTCTTGGGTGCATTCCTCAGCTGAGTCTTCTGCCTGCATTGTCTATGAGTTTCTGTTTTCTGTTCAGTTGTTTAATCTTGTTCCCTGACCTGGAGGGCTTTCTTCAAATGTCTGCTGTTCTTTGGCTATACTTACTCGGCTTTGAAAAGCTGGCTGGAAACTTCTGAGTCCATTGCCAGGACTCAGCTGGGAATGAATGATTCTGTTGGGGGAGTCCTCAGAATTTAATACCTCAAAACTTCCTTCCCTGCACCCCCTAGTAGTCCCAGGGTCATTTGTGTTTTCCAGAAAAGCCCTCACAAGTCTGGCCTCCGCCTGTAGAGCCAGTGTTGAGGGCTCAGGTGGAGAAGAGTCTCCCCGCGTCTGGGCGTTCTGTAGAAGCACTTCTAGCCCGGGGCCGTTTGGCCTCTGTTTGACAGCTCTGATGGCTGTTAATAATGTCTGGCTGCTGCCTGCCTTGGGATGGAGGCTGGGAGGCTTTAACTGCCGGTAGGTGGTGGAACAGTCCTGCATTCAGCTCCGCTTCCTGCCTGCCCTCCAAGGTACCCACCCCACGCCTCTGGCCCGAGCTGCCTCCTCCTTTCCTCTGGTGGGCTTGTTTGTGGCGTGTTGTGGGCTCTTGGTGTTTGGTCTTCTAATCTCATCTGCTAATGTTTCCTTCCACTCTAGTTTTCCAGAAGTGTGTTGACAAGTCTCAACTGCTGCCATTTCCTCCTCTGTTCTTGAGAGTTTAATTTACTTCACTTGGCTGGAAGCTTATTTTATTATTATTTTATTTGCAGTATTGAATATCAAACAAAGGGCTCACACATGCTGGGCCAACTCTTTACCGCCGAGCTACGTTGCCAGCCCTTTACTATCTTATTTTGAGGCAGACTTCTTAGCCTCCCGCCGTGGTCTTCTGCTTCTGAAAAGCTGGGGTTCTGAGCGTGTGTCACTGCACCCAGTTTGAATGAGAATCTGATTTTTTTTTTTACATTTCTATGTATTTATCTCGTCTGTGTACATGCACTGCACGTATGTGGAGATGAGAGGATAACTTGAGGGAGTCAGTTCTCTTTTTCCAATATTGGATCCCAGGGATTGAACTCACGTCTAGGTTTAGTGGCAAGTGCCTTTACCCACTGAGCCATCCCGCCAGCTGAGAAAATGTGTATTTTCATCAGAAGTGTAGGCTATTATATATTTATATTTATCACACTTGGACTGAATTCTGCCTCTACTACTGAGCCTACTCCCTAGCCCTTCTCTCCCCAACCTCCCTCTTTTTTTTTTTTTTTTTTTTTTTTACTTAATATAGCCTCATGTATCCCTGGATGGCCTGAAACTCTATATCACTATTGCCAAAAGTACCTTGAATTTCTGATCTCCTGTCTCCACCTTCTGAGTGGAGGATTATAGGTGTGTGCCATCATGCCTGGCTTTATGCCATGTGGGGATCAAACTTAGGACTTTGTGCAAGTTAGACAAGCACTCTACCAACTGAGCTACATGCCCAGTCCTCTGTAGAGTCTCTCTATGTAGCCCAGGCTGGCCTTGAACTCTTAATCCCACTGCCTTTGCCTTTTGAATGCTGAGATTGCAGGTATGTGCCCCACCTGTGGCTACCTCTGTCGTCTTATTTAGTTAGTGCCTTCTACCTAGTGTGTCTTCTCTCTGCTGTTTTTCCTTATCTTTCCTTTATTGTGTAGACTGACATTTCTTCTCCTGGTTGGAAAGGTATGCATGATTGAGGTTGCCTATCGTTCTTCTCATGGTGTATCTTATTAAGCCCGTAGTTGGCCTTTTCAATATCTTGTGTCTTTGCCATGAAAACACGAAGCCCCTTAGCATGGTCTCCCCACTCCTCTGCTCTCCCTGCCTTGGTGGGTCCAAGCTGTACTCCATGGCTGGTTTCCGTGGAGGGACAGGCCAGCCCTGTTCATTTGCCATTGCTTAGAACTGGCAGGCTTGTTCGTAGGTGTCTTAGAGAGGCCTTCAGTTCTCAGTGATGGTTTGGTCTAAAGGATATCTAAAAATATCCCTGAGGTTTTGTATTTATCTCGTCTGTGTACATGTTTTGTGTGGGACTAGGGATGATAGGTAGAAAAAGTGAGACGGAGTGGACAGATCAGTGATGCTGGGGACCCGAGACCTGCAGCCCCTCCTCAGTCTCCCTCTCCCAGATGTCTCCTTTTGTCTCCAGCTTTGTCCTCACACAGCATGGTAGCCCCTGCTCTGTGCAAGGGAGAAAGGTTCTTGGTGGGAAGGAGTGTCAACTAGACTGTGTGCAAAGAGGCGGCCTTGACCGGACACGGCCAGTTCTTATCAAGCAGGAATTCCGATCCAACAGATCCAACAGCATCGGAGCGTTCAGGGTTTCCCTAGCAGGCAGGAGACTGGAGTTTGTGTGAAGTCTTCCAACTTACACATGGGCTAGAACTGCCTAGAACCCTGTCCAGGCTAAGGGCTAGCTCTGCTCAGACACTGTGGCCTTCGCACAAAGCCCTGGTTGTCAGTGGTGCTCTGTCCTCCTGGATGAGTGTCCTTTCCTGCCTCAGTGGTTTCTCCCAAGGGTGGCTTTCTGCTCCCTGCCTCACGCAGTGACTTCCTCCTGGACTGTTTCTCCAGGCCATGTTCTGTCACACAGACTAAACACCGTTTAGGTTGCATCAGCACTTTCTCAGCGCTGTCATTGACAAGGTGAAGACACACTCGTTCTTCCCGTAGGAGGGCACAGACTTCATTTTCCCGGAGCCTGTCTGTAGCCCGAGGCCCTGTCCCACACCCAGGCCTTGCTCCTGAAGTAGGTGAGGGACTCTGCTCTCTCACTGGAGCATGGAGACTGACATCGGATGCGCACACCAGTTGTCAACGCCTTGGCCCGTAGCAAGCAAGCTGTTGCCATAGAGCATGGTCCTGTGAGTCTCTCCTGCCTGTGGTAGGCTGGAGTTTTCTCCCATTGTCTGCCTACCCCTGCCTCCGGACTCACTCTGCTGCCTGAGTGGCAAGAGGCTGCTGCTTTATATACCGAGGCAGTTGGTGACTCATTTCTCAGCAGCCCCTTAAATAGGGAAGTGAAATGTGTACACCTGGCAGGGCCTGACCTTTGGGTGACAGCGGAAGTAGCTGTGTAAACATGAGCTCATTGCTGAGGGGAAGTCCTGTTCACCACCAGGCTGAAGAGAGCATCTGCCTGTACTGGCCCTCCTGTGGCCTCTATGCCTGTGGCTCTAGTAACTTTTTTTTTTTTCTTTCTCCCTTCCCTCCACTTCCTTGGTGACAGCTGGAAGTCACAGTGGTAACAACTGAGAGAGCCAAACATTTCTATAGCCCCCAGGATGTTCCTGTCACCCTCTACAGCGACGCCGATGAATGGGAGGTCAGTGCCGGCCCATTGCTTTCCTTCCAGCAGGACAGAGCTCTCTTCCCTGCAGCCTGTGGTCCTGGCCGCTGGAGCACGCAGCCTGGGCTCAAGTCAGTGGTCAGGGCCATCTGGGCAGAGGCAATGAGGAAAACATCTGTCTAGCTTCTGGCCTGCGGGAGGCCCGTAGTCCCGCCTTCCTCAGGCAGAGCTCAGCTTTGGCCCAGTGCCTGGGGTTGAGTGTCCTTGTACTTATCTGGGCCGATGAAACCACAGAGGAGCTCTGTTCCCACCACCCTTGTCCATGTGGCTGTCAGCGTCAAGGCTATCCCGAGTGCTTCACTTCCCACGGCCGCCGGCCATGCCTCCGCCCTCCTGCAGAGGGGTGGGCACCAGCCGATTTGCCAGGCACGCAGTGTGGGCCTCACAGGGCTGCCCTGCCAGGCCTTTTAAAACATTCTCAGTCCCGAACATTTCTGGCTGGTTTGCCCTCCCCTCCCTCCCCTCCCTCCCCTCCCCCTTCATTTCTCACCGCCCCAGAGCCCTTCTTACTGGCTTGGACAACCCAAGCATCCGCCTCAAGCAGACAGGCCAGGAGTTCCCTGCCAGATGTCAGTTCTCTTGAAAACCAAACCATAAAGGGAATAAGCTCGGAGAGACAAGGAGCGTTTGTTTCCCCGGGCCTGGTTTCTGTCAGGCTGCTGGCTCCATGGCCAGGGCTTGCCAGCTTCGCTGGGAGAGGGGACAGTGGACGACTGAGGGAGAGCTAGGTGGTTTCCTTGGCCTTCTCAACTTATTGTACCTGGCCTGTTTGGCCGTCATCCCCCCCGACACGCATACCGAGAATGACTGGGTTGACGGCCCCCGTTTCTTTCCCTTGGCAGATGTGGAAGCGCCGCTCCGACCCAGTTCTCCACATTGACCTGCGAAGGTGGGCTGACCTCATGCTAGTGGCTCCCCTCGATGCCAACACTCTGGGGAAGGTGGCCAGTGGCATCTGTGACAACTTACTTGTGAGTGACTCCTCTGTCCTCCCTCGCCAGCCTTGCCCCCAGTTTGCCGAGCTGCAGATTTCACTGGACCAGTCGGTCTGCAGCTGTGGGGTGCAGGTCTGTGGAGCAGCACCCTGCCCTTGCCCGGGTCTGATGGATCGTCTGGCTCCGCCAGTGCTGTCTGTCTGGGAGTGTCCCCCTCTCTCCTGTTGTCGGTGGTCAGCCAGGTGCCCCAGCCTCAGCCCCCTGCTCTTCCACCTTCCTCCCACAGGCTGCCCTCTGCGCGCACCCCCATGGATTTCCCGTCCTTCACTGCTTCTCCATCAGTTCTGCCTCCCCCCAAGAACCTAGAAACACACATGAAGCCCCCGATGAGGGTGTCTGCGTCCTCATGCAGCTCACATGCTCACTTCTCTAGAGTCATTTCAGCCCCAAAGCGAAACCCCAATCAATTGTCACATCTATCAGAGGAAGCTTGGAGGGAAAGGGGGGCAAACCAGGTGAGAAGTGATTGCCGGGTTGGCTTATACCCAAGACCTCTGGGGAGCTGCTCCCATGAAGAGCGACTGTCTTTGTTTACGTGATCATCCTGAGGAGGTCTTATGGACCCCCTCCCTCCATTTCTTGACCTTTCACCTCCCGTGTTCTGAGGGCTTATACTGAGGATACGGGGAGAGATTTGTGGTCACCCATGCAGGCAGGAGGAGTACTCCCTGCTGGGTACTAGAGACTTAAGTGACCCCATCAGCCTGTGGAGCATGCTTAGTGCTGGGCACCAAGTAGGCATTTACTAGTACTGCTTGTATGTGTAGGAAGTAATTTTTTCATAAATATTTTTGTGTGAATTTATTTGTGTGTGTGTGAGAAGACAGACAGAGTGGAGTCGGGGGGGGGGGGGGAATATGCAGGCCCCCCTCAAACTTCGGCAGTCCTGCCTCTGCCCTCTCAATACTGGCATTACAGGTGTGTATTACTACACTCAGCTCATTTTTAGAGTTGAAAATGGTGAAGAACTGAATATGGAAGATGCATCAGGAGCTTTAGGAGATCACATATGAAATTAATGTCCTGTCATCTGGGCCCGGTGGCATAAGCCTGTAATCCTGGCAACTGAGAGGCTGAGGCAGGAGGATCAAAAGTTCAAGGCCTGTGTAGGCTCCAGCACAGTTCTCTGAAAGTAAAAAGAGGGCTGAAGATGTAGCTCAGTGGCAGGATGCTTGTGTATTGAGTGTGAAACCTGGGTTCATTCAATCCTTGTCTGCTTGTTAGGAAACTCTAAGCTCCTCTTCTGGGAAGCTGCTAGTGACTTAAACATCGTTAGACTAAGAACATAGGATGGGAGGAACACCACCCTGATGCTGTGGCCAGAAGCAGACTGGGTAGGACAGAGAAGCAGAGCCAGGTACAGCATGGTCCTCGCTGCCCAGGAGGGCTGTGATGCTCAGCCGTGTACCCCCAAATCCCTGGGCTCCTGTTAGCAGGTTAACAGCAGCTAATGTGGTAGAACACACCCCGGCCAGCTCTCTGAGGGTTCTTCCCATCCTCTGAAAACTCAGGTCTCCCTTCTTTTTGTTGTTGTTGTTATTATTATTATTATTATTATTATAATCATATGCTAAGCCCTTTTTTTTAAATAGAGCCTATAGCTAAGCTGGAGAGATGGCTCAGTGGTTAAGAGCAAAGGATGGTCTTCTAGAGGATCCAGGTTTGATTCCCAGCACCTACATGGTGGTTCACAACTGTCTGTAACTCCAGTCTCAGGGGATCTGACACCTTCTTTTGGCCTTCATGGACAGCAGGCATACATGTGGTGCACAGACATACATGCAGTCAGAATACCCACACACATGTAAAACAAATATAGTCTCAGATAGCCCACTGGCCTTGAAATCCTGATCCTCTTGCTTCCCCTTCCCAAGTGATGGGATCGCTGTGGCCTGAGGGCCTGGCTTTTTTTCCCCCTAAGCTGCCACACTCCCTATTTTTGAGGTCTCTTCTTCAGAATAGCCTGAACAGTGGAGCATGCCCCTGAACTAACTACTTTCCTCAGTCTCACCTGAACACATTTCAGACAGTCTCCAGTATCATGAACAGTGGAGCATGCCCCTGAACTAACTACTTTCCTCAGTCTCACCTGAACACGTTTCAGACAATGTCCGGTATTATGGTTTGAACTGTAAGCTTCCTTGGTTGTGGGGCTACCTTCTGCTCAGTACGTGTCTTCTTAGAATCCTGAAAGGAAACTCAGCCTGCTTTCCTTTCCAGACTGTCCTGTCTCCATTGGAAAGGTGCTGGAGAGCAGCATGCTAGATCTTGTCCTGCATTCCTGGTCTCCGGGCCTTCAGCCTGGGATGGCTGTCTCTGTCTGCACTGGCCTCTCTGTGCTAAACTGTCAGGTCCTGGGGAGTGACCCCCCACTCCCCAGGGTTGACAGTCTGGCTCAGCACTAGTCTCTTGACTGGGATCCAGCCTTCTGCCCTGCCTGAGCGTGTTCCCAGGGGCAAGGCCGAGGCACTGAGCATGGTGCCAGCCACTTGGCTGTGGGAACCACGTCCTCCTCTCCCTTTCCTACCGCTACTTGCTTCAGAGAAGCTGTGGTTTGTCCAGGAAGCGCTGTCCTCCGAGTCAGACGCCGGGGAGGCAGGCCTGCCGAGGGCAGACGGGCTGGGTTTTTGCTGTGGTCAGTGTGCTCTGCTTTGGAAGTATTTAGAGCCCGCCCAGCCCCATCCCTACACCAGACATCACCGAGGGCCCCTTCTAGGTTTGCTTACAACTCCCGCAAAAGCAGCAGGTGGCACAGAGCCAAGAGGAAGGGGCACTGAAATTGTCCACTCACAGCCAGCTTGTCACATCCAGAGGACTTGGTGGGAAACCAACTCTGGTGTCTGGGATGACGCAAGCAGTCGGATTCTGAGGCTGTTTGCTGCCTGTCCCAGGAGAGGGTAATGGCACTGAGGGACAGGCTCTGGCTCTGGCTCTGTGTTGCACTGTTCTCTGCTCTCTCCTCCCTTCCCAAAAGGACTCTATCTCTGGGAGGGGTGTCACAATTGCTGTCTCCCCAGGAGCTTTCAGGAGGAGGTGTCTGGGGTGGTCAGAGCACAGGAACTTATCTCTTCGGGAGGCTCTCCCTGGCCTCCTGAGCCTGGGCCTTTGTTGTGGAGCCCGTTCTGAGTGCTAGGCCCTCAGCTAAGAGCTTTCACACTTTGACTGGCATCTGGGGCACCCACCTCTAATTCCACCACCTAGGAAAGCAGGGAGCCAAGAGTTGAAGGTCAGCTGCTACATAGTCAGTTCAGAGGTCAACCTGGACTACAAGAGACTCTGCCTCAAAAGACTACTGCCATACCATGTTACCATCAAAAGCACTCACATTCTTTCTTATTTTTATTTATTTTATTTTTTGAGACAAGGTCTATGTAGCCCTTGCTGGCCTGGAACTTGCTATGTAGGCCAGGCTGGCTTTAAACTCAGAGAGATCAGCATGCCTCTGCCTCTCTTGGGCTAGGATTAAAGGAGTATACTACCATGCCCAGCTCACTCGTGCTCTCGCTCTGTCTCTCTCTCTGTCTCTCTTTCTCTTTCTGTCTCTGTCTCTCTCTCTTTCTTCCCTCCCTCCCTTCCTCTCTCCCTCCCTTTTTCTTTTTTTTCTTTTCTTTTTTTTTCAGACAGGGTTTCTCTGTGTAGCCCTGGCTGTCCTGGAACTTGCTCTTTAGACCAGGCTGACCTCGAACTCAGAGATCTGCCTGCCTCTGCCTCCCTGAGTGCCGGGATTAAAGGTGTGCACCACCATTGCCTGGCAGCTCTTTCTTTTTTAAAAAAATAATAAATAATGAGTCCTGGTATATATTCCAGGCTGGCCCTGAACTTGAGATTCTCTCCCCTCAGCCTCCAGAGGGGCTGGGATGACAGGCATATGCCACCACACCAGCATTCATGGTTTGATTTCAAGCTTGTATGACTTTAGAGTTCACAATCTTAAGACTCTGAAAAGGAAGAAGGAAGGGAGGGAGGGAGGGAGGG